TGTTGTTGTTGTTGTTGTTGTTGTCGGTCCGTTGTTGTTGTTGTTGTTGTTGTTGTTGTTGTTGTTGTTGTTGTTGTTGTTGTTGTTGTTGTTGTTGTTGTTGTTGTTGTTGTTGCAGCCCTTGTTGTTGCAGCTCTTGTTGTTGTTGTTGCCCTTGTTGGTGGCGGTGTTGTGGGAGAGGTGAGTTGGTCTCCTCATCACGCACGACGACCATGATGGCAGCTTGCTTCGCACCAGCACCCCTGCACACACGCCTGCGCTTGTCATACATAAAGCACACAGATCATGTGCACCCAACAACGACAGCGTTCCCTGCGCAGCGCCAACACCAGCAGCGCCACCACGACCATCATAGCCGTCCCTTGCGCTGTCCACCCCCTGCTCACCGCTGCTGCGAATGACCAGGGCATCGAGAATTCGAGTGATTGCAACAACGAACGCATCTGCACCCACGCCATCAACGCTGGCAGCAGCAGCACCACCACCACCATCACCAATGCCTCTCAGGAGCAGCTGCTGTCGCCCTTGCATCTCCAAGAGGATGAGAGGCAAAATAAAGTAGTGATACCATCCAACATTTGCCGCGTAGCGGGTGAACACGCCCACGGCTGCGCCCACAATGCCGGCAGCAGCAAGTGGCGAGAAAAGCAGCGCCTGTGCTGTTGGTCCGCGTGCAAACGCCAGCGTCGCCCCCAATGGCCACTGCAGAACAACAGCCGCAGTGATTGCGGATATGAACGCAGCTGTGGTGCCGGCCGCAACCCCCGTGATGGGACACGCGGTGATGGCGGTGGCGGTGGCGGGGCAGCCCAGCCGGGCCAGGACGGCCGAGACGCGAGGGAGCAGTGCACACACGAGTGCAGCAGACACAACGCCGGCGGCAAGGTTGTCTGGTCCGCACGCGCACGCGACAATGCAAGCAAGGATTGCCTCCACACCCACGTAACGGTGCTGGGTGGCCGTGAGCACACCCGCAGCGACCGTGGGGGCCATGGTCAGCGCTGCCGCTGCACTGTTGGTCGCACGTGCTATCAATGCCATCACCTGCTGGAAATTGATGTGAGCGATGGCAGGCATGATATCATCAAGGCCGTGGGCTGCTTCAAAGCCGGAGTTGTCCTGCTGCGGCTGTTGGTGTTGGTGTTGGTGCTGGTGCTCTTGGTGTGGCTGGAGGAGAGCTGGTGTTGTCACGAGCACGCAGACGAGCGAGATTCCCAAGACAATTGGGAGGGTGGCGTCCAGCACGGAGTGGTACGCGGCCAGGCGCACGCGAACGGGCGGCGTGTACACGCGACCAAAGTGGGCTGCCAGCGCCGAAGTATTGGAGGCCGCGAGAGTGAGTGGCGTGGTGGCCACGGAACCACCGGACATGCCGATGACACGCGCACCTGCAAGCGTGATCTCGCTCACAGATGTGCCGCCGGTGCCGACAACAGGGACGCGTGCCTGGATGCATGCCTTGATTGTGCGACTGTTGACGTTGAGGGGGTCGCTGGACAGCGTGATGACCGCATCAATGTGGCCTGCTGCAATGTGCCGCGCAAGGGCGGCGTCGGCCTGGCGAGCGCGCTCATTCGCTTGCGCGAGGGCGCCTCTGTATGTACAAACGGCGGTGGGGTTTGTCGAAGGCAGTGGGGGTGGAACAGTAGCGGCGGAAGAAGGATGTTTGGCGTCGGTCTCCAGTTCCCACAGCAGGGCTGCATGCAGGGCATCTGCTGCTTGCTGCTGTGGCATGTCTTCTTCGCAGTGGTTTGTCATCACGGCATGTGTACCGGCCGTTGGCGGCGTTGCTTTGGCGACAGAGTCAAAGGGCTGGTCTGTCATAACGAGGAGGAGCGAGACAAGGTGCATGTCGCATCGTCGCAGCTCCTGTTCGACACATTGCACCACATCCTGCGCTTCGCGTCCAACGTTGCCCACCCCACCACCAGAGCTCCCAATCAGCGCTATCCTGAGCCTTTTCATGAGTGTGTGTGTGTGTGCAGTGAGTGTGTGAGTGCTGTGTGTAGTGAGAGAGAGAGTGTGTGTGTGTGTGTGTGGGTGTGTGTAAGTGAGTGTTGTGTGTGCAGTGAGTGTTGTGTGTGCGCAGTGTCGTGTGTGTTTTGGTGGGTGCAAGTATTGGCGATTTGTTAAAGTTTCCGGCTGATTTTCAGCAGTGGACCGGACGAAGAGGACAACCTGCGCTGGTGGTGATGGTGTTGCGTGCGCTGTTGTTGTGCTACTTTCACTTTGAGAAGGTTGTCGTCTCCAACGGCAGCACTGAAGCGCTTGATGTCGGCTCCGTTCTCTGGCGCGAAGACCGCTCTCCGCTGGGCAAGGTGGCGCTGTGTGTGTGTGTGTGTGTGTGTGTGTGTGTGTGTGTGTGTGTGTGTGTGTGTGTGTGTGTATGTGTGTGTGTGTGTGTGTGTGTGCGTGTGTGCGTGTGTGCGTGCGTGTGCGTGTGCGTGTGTGTGTGATTGTGTGTGTGTGTGAATGTGTGTGATTGTGTGTGAGTGAGTGTGAGTGTGGGTGCGTGTGTGATTGTGTGAGTGAGTGAGTGTGAGTGTGGGTGCGTGTGTTTGATTGTGTGTGAGTGTGTGAGTGTGAGTGTGAGTGTTAATGACCTCTGCTTTCGTTAGTGCACACTGTGAACAGTGGTTTGTACGCAAACACGCGCTGTTATTGTTCTTCTTCCCTTTCTTCGCACTCCCACACAGCCAAACACTCACGCGCATGAACACATCGTCATTTGCCAGGTGTTTGAGGTGTTTGGACGCGTGGATGAGCCATACTACGTCGTCCGCTTTCCCTCCAGCGATGCCATCAAGCAGAAGCAGGTCAGTCAAGTGCCTGCAAGCACACATCGATCAGGGTCTTTGAAGGTTTGGGCTCACTACATGTACACACACGCACATACTCATGACGTCATAATAATCCACCTCACACACCTCAAACTCAAACATACACATTCGCACATGATCATGTTACGCTGCTTTGTGGTTGGTTCAGATTGCCAAGGGTCAGCCCATCTTTGCTGCTGTGGAACGCGATGATTTGGCAAAGCCCGTTCCAACCGAAGAGCTCCGAAAGTGAGCATGCGTGTGTGCGTGTGTGTTTGTTTGTTTGTTTGTTTGTTTGTTTTGTGTGTTTGTGTATTTGTTTGTTTGTTGTTTGTTGTGTGTTTGTGTATTTGTTTGTTTGTTGTTTGTTGTTTGTTTGTTTGTTTGTTTTGTGTGTTTGTTTGTTTGTTTGTTGTTTGTGTGTGTGTGTGTTTGTTTTGTGTGTTTGTTTGTTTGTTGTTTGTGTGTGTGTGTTTGTTTGTTGTTTGTTTGTTTATTTGTTTGTTTGTTTGTGAGAGCCTGTGTGTGTCTGTTTGTGTGTGCGTGCGTTCATGTACATGTGCGATTCGTGCCCGGCAATCCTCAATGTGTATTCGGACTCTTATTTTTGCAGTCATGCAGAAATTGCCACCTTTGGCCTGTACTCAGAATGCTTCGAACTCACGTGCACAACACCTCTGCTGCTCGCTTTCCATCCCAGGATGAAAGGCAGCGATGCGTCCTGGTTCCACGACGAAGAGCCGCCAGAAAACGTGCACACATGCCCATGGCTGCGGTTGTTGCTGCTGTTGTTGTTTGTTGATGAAGTTGTGGTTGGTGGAGTTGTTATTTCGTGAGTGGATCACTTTGCACGTTTTCTCTCTCTCACACTCACATACAAATAACATCACACACTCTACTCTGTCTGTCTGACTGTCTCTGTCTATCTGTCTGTCTGTCTGTCTGTCTGTCTGTCTGACTGTCTCTGTCTATCTGTCTGTCTGTCTGTCTGTCTGTCTGTGTATCTTTCTGTGTGTGTGTGTGCGTGCGTGTGTTTCTCTGTGTCAACCAGGCGCTTGACTTCAGCGACGACGAGGAGGAGGCCAAGCACCGGCGGGAAGCGAAGAAATCGCGCAAGAAGAAGAAGGCAGATGATGATGACGATGATGATGACGACGGTGATGCCGACGCAACTCATGGCGCGCTCGAATGTGAGGACACGCAAGGATGTGTGTGCTATTGTGTTTGGTGTGGTTGTTTGTTTGTTCGCATGATTGTCAACACACAAGTTGCACACACGCGATATGAACCCTCGCACACACGCACACACTCACTCGCACACTCACTCGCACACTCACTCGCACTCACTCGCACTCACTCGCACTCACTCGCACACGTACGCACACGTACACACATACGCACACACACACGCACACGCACACACACACGCACACGCACACGCACGTACACGTGTGCATATTCTTGCATCGCCTTTCTCTCTTGCGTCTCCTCAGCAAACGCAGCCAAGCGGGGCAAGAGGAGCACACCATCGCGGCCACAGAAGACAACAACCCACCGCCATCAGCCATCGTCGTCGTCATCGTCGTCATCGTCGTCAGCCCCGCAACTCGCAGCGTTTGCTGGTCGCTTTTCTCAACAGTACACCAACCAGCCCCAACGCCAACAGCAACACCAGCATCAGCAGCGGAGACCACGACAAGGGTTAATGGGAGCAGCGCCCATGCAGCAAGCCGTGGGCGCAATTGCTGGCGGTGGCGGTGGCGGTGGCGGTGCGTCGTTGCTCGGACCACCTGTACCCAGCGCTGCACCGGTGCCATCGCAACCGCCGTCGTCATTGCCATCGGGGCTGCTGCCTGCACCGTCAGGGGGGCCGCTTATGCAGACGCGAACGCCTCTCATTGCAACGCCGCCGCCACCACGACAGACCCAACCGGTGCCATCGCACCAACCGCATCAGGTGCAGCAACTGCACATGCCTGCTCTGCAAGCGGCCAAGCCAGCGCTCATACCCACGCATCCCATGCAGCAGCAGCAACAGCAGCAGCAACGGCAGCAACCAATTGGATTTGGCGGTGGAGGACTCATGCCTCAGCCCATGCAACAACACCAACCAATGCAACAACTACAGCCAATGCAACAACAACAGCCAATGCAACAACACCAACCAATGCAACAACACCAACCAATGCAACAGCAACAGCACATGCAACAACAACAGCTAATGCAACAACAGCAACACATGCAACAGCAACAGCCAATGCAACAACAGCAACACATGCAGCAACAACAGCCAATGCAACAACAGCAACACATGCAACAGCAACAGCCGATGCAACAACAGCAACACATGCAGCAACACATGCAGCAGCAGCCGCACTATCCCCACACGCAAGCCTTCGTTCGGCAACAGCCACCACCGCACATGCAGCAACAATACCAGCACGCTTCGCACACGCCGTACACCCAGCAACAGCAGTGGCAGTGGTATCAGGGATAGGATGTTGAAGTGTGTGTGTGTGTGTGTGTGTGTGTGTGTGTGTGTGTGTGTGTGTGTGTGTGTGTGTGTGTGTGTGTAGTAGTG